ACCTATCCATGTCATCATTTACCCAGAATGCTTTGCGTGTAAATAAAATGGCCCCATCCGTGTAATGTATTTTTAAACTTTTAGTTTAAAAATGATAAAAACTGAACATCCTACAGTATTTTTACATTCTTTATTTTACAGTTAAAATATATGTTTATCAAATAAAGTCTAATGTTACAACTAATCATGGATCCCTTTAAACCAGAACAGAAAACGCAGTTTTTAAAAGTCACATTAAAAATAGCTGTGTGGGACATCTAAAGGAAGAAAAAAAAACATTTAGAATCAAAAGTCATGGGTGAAATTCTAAAGTTTAAAACACATCCTCACTTCCAAGTTAGGCATAGCCTCGGGAGTTTTTGTAGATGAAATTTGACTGTTCACACACACTTCTGCTTCCACACACAGAGTTTCATTAGACGTACGTCTCATGTGGTCCCCCTCTTCACACACACGCTCTCTTAGCGTGCAGCATTTCGATGAGCAGGTTGTTACAGGTTACCTCTCCGCTCAGGTGCATGTAGCACAGGTAGTCCTCGGCCTGCGTGCTGAGAGAGCGCAGCTCAGGCAGCCGGACCACCAGCTGACTGAACTTATCCTGAAACTGAGGGTAAGTGGTGAGAGTGTACTCCAGCAGAGCCCCGTTCACCTGCTCCTGGACCCCCTCCACAAACACCTGGTTCTCCAGTAGCTTTACATCTGCAGACACACAACGGATGACTGTTAGTTCTGAAGCTGTGAGAACAGATTACAGTCTGGACACTCATTACAGTTTCCTGAAAGGCAGGCTCACCTGACATCTGCAATGCTTTGATTCATTTAAGCTCAGTTTATTATGACCCCGCACGCGAAGCGTAAGCGGGAGTCATATTGTGTTCGTACGGTTTATTTATTTTTTCATTTATTTTTTTTCAGTGATTTTTGGTCAACCGTAGCACAAAAACGGCTGCACCGGTCAACATGAAATTTGGCAGGACTGTACATGAGTCTGACCTACACTGTGCCAGCCAACGGTTTTACAATAGACCCCATATTTGAGGAGGGGGCTCCTTTCAAAGTGGGGGTGTCAGGACATACAAAATCACTTATAACTCAGAAACTGTTCAACATAGAAGCTTCAGATTTCTTTTGTTCTTTAGCTCTGATGAAGCTCTATCTGTCAGGCCCACAATCAGTGCCCCCCACTCCCTCC